GGTTGGATGGAGCTCTGAGCAACCTGGTCTAGTGGAAGGTGTCCCTGTTCAGGGCAGGGGGTTGGAACGAGATGATCTTCAAGGTCCCTTCCAACCCAAACCATTCTATGATTCTATGATTCTATGAATTGGTATGATTTTGTCTTTATGAGATGAGTTTGTGGGCAGACTCTCAGAAATTAGAGGTAATGCTACAAATTTCTGCGAGTCCCATTTTTTGGCAAAGCAGACATCGTGGTCGCGACAAGATCTGCTCGGGGTTGCGGCAATGCCATGACGGCCGAGATCTTGGTCCAAAGACAAAATGTGCAAGGAAGAAACCTCCGGTAGGCTGAGGACAGGAGGAGCAAGCGACGCAGTGATTCTCCGTGCTGGGTAAGAACGGGAGGACCGAGCCATGTGTCCTCAGGATGAAATTCAAGGGGACAATTTTTTGTACTCTGTCACTTCTTCCTAAACTTCTACTAAGAAACATATCTCTAAGGAAAAGCACCATAGTGGTATCACAGAGGTCTCTGGGGCATAGAGCACCTTATCGCACGTGTGGTATCATTAGTGACGTTCGTTATCGGTTCATCCTGCTACTCTACCAGTGGAAGGAAATTGCCATAAGTGTTTCTCCAATAGCGAAAATACCATTGGTGAGAATGAGGTGAAGGCTGGTAAAATTAAAAATAAGGTGATATTCTTCTATCTGGCAATTAATGTTTTCTTCAAATGCTGAGATCCATAAGAGATACACCAGGGATACTTCTCCCAGAAGTGCTAGGGAGCAGTTACTACAGGATTTGTTAATTTAAGATGCCAAACCCCAGCCGGGACCTAACCTTGCCGGGGTCGCTTCCTGCCGAGAAACTGCATCTACTCAGAGGTGTCTTGTCAGCACAGACACATGCCATCTCTTCTCACCCAGCCTGTCTGCTGTGGTATGATTTCATATCCTAACTGCCTGTTTTTTTAATGAGTAGCATATATCTGCCTGACTTGCAAATAATGTGCTTGAAGAACCCATTACTCAGCTGTAACAAAGTCCTGAGCCCAAAGCTAACAGCATGAGGAGCTGCCTTATGAAAGGAGGATCTCCTAGATTCGTCACCTTCCTTCAGTGTTGTGATCAGTCACTAGATATTTGTGTGGATAAGGCAATTACCCCTTTGAGGTTTCTGGTTTGGGGGTAGGCTGCAACTAAGAAGCAGCAATGAGATAAACAGGTATATATTTGGGAGCAATTTCACAATATAAATTTAAAAAAAATAAAGAGCTCAACAATTTGGAGTAACGGCAGCAGCATCACAAGCCAGTTACATCTCTGATAAATTAGCATGACAATAAAACCCTCCGACCACACACGTTTCTGAGAAACGGCCTCGTGACCTACACTTCCTTTGGGAAGGCTTTATTGTAATCTATCAAAAAAAGATCTGATTCATCCTGAGCCCTGACGACTGCTGCGTGCCTACAAAATACTCTGTACAAGCCCAGGCTGCAGGGAAAACTCCCCAGCTCTGACACAGCAAAGAAGAAGTGACACAAAGAACTGCAGGCTGTCAGTGAACTCGGACACCAAACGCACTACCCAAAGCTTGGACATCGACATGAGGAATGTACACAGCAATAACAACAAACAATCAATCTGTTCTCTTGAATTACTGCCATATCAGAGTTCTAGCACTGCTTTATAGGAGGTGAGTGTCAGAAATACTTCAAATACTGAACTTGGATTCATAGCACTCATCTGTCTCTGCTTTAAGCTAATCTTTTATTCAGGCTTCCCTAACATTTTGCCTCAGAGAAATCCTAAAGTTTTTCAAGAGGAGATACTCCAGCTGAATTTTTGCTTTATGCAGCATCCCACTGCAAATAAACAATTTTTCCTTATGGAGAGGTGAGACCGTTGTATTCCAAGACCTTTTAGCTCAGATCCTTATGCATTTTAAATCAGTAACAGGATCACCTCCTTCCTCCCCTCCCCCTTTCCGTACCCTAACACAGAATGATGCCTTAACACTACTTTCCTCCTTCAGTCACTATCTTACTGGACTGTTTAGCCCCTTCTCCTTTTAAAACCTCGCCTGGACAATGTCATTCCTCCAAGGATCCAACCAGAGATAAAGACCTGGACTGCAGGGATGGAGCCGGCAGAGCGGGAGGCTCCCAGCAGAAAGGAGCCCTGCCAGGTACCGACCTACAGCCACTCCCGTCCTATTGAGCTGTCAGTCCACCACAGCACTAAAACAGGTTTCTTTCCAACAACAGCTTTCTAACCCACCTTTAAATCTTTCTAGCTATTTACTAATGATCTCCTGACTAACTGGTTATCTCCCAACACATAAGCGTTCCAAAAATCCTGAATTCAACAAAAAAAGAATTTGCTGAACCCCCCCAAAAAAATCCTTTCCCCTGCCCCCAGTCATTCTGCCATCACGTATCAGAACAAACCCTCTGCCACCACCCCAGTCTGCATTTAGACTGAAGAAACAGCTCCCAGTGTTAAAGCAGTGAAATAGCTTTATAGTTTTACAACTTCATGATTTACATCATGGCAGATTTTTTTGTATTTTAATCGTTTAAACATTGTGTTTGTTTGTTCGGTGCTGGGAAAGCAGGAGGCACCGGATCACTTTCTCATAGCAAAGAAAAAAAATGGCAACCAAGAAAGTTCAGCTGCTTCCATTTAACAGCTGCCTGAACAGGTGGGATAGAAAGATCAGCTCAGCTCCATGCTTCAGTAGCAAATTCACCTATGAATTAATTCCAGGCTGGAGCAACAAACTCATTTCTCTTTCACTCAGTTTATCCCTTTATTTCCCTTTTTGGAGTTACCTGGTGACGTTTTCTGTCAGCTCCTGTCACACGGTCACCAGACGTCTACGCTGTCCCCCACGTCCCACTGCTCTCCCCCATGACCACTCATCGGCGGGGAACGCCGGTCCCGCTTCCCAGCCAACGGCAGCAAGCAAAACTCATCATCTGAGTTCCAGTACTGCTTCAATGCACTGGAAAACACCACCGGCTGCTCTGCCGGACAAAAAAGCTTCACAGCCCGGAAAAGGCGGTGGGGGTAGGGCTCACTGGCTTTTTTAAATGACCTAATGCCGCCAATTAGGAAGTGGCTTTGCGCAGCTCAGAAGGACACTGGCAGCTGTTTCAAGTAGATGAGCAAAGAAAATGCAGGAGAGCCCCATTGTAGCCTCTGACTCCACATTAGCAAAAATAAAGAAGTAAAAAAATAGCACTAAGCAAATAAACCCTCATGCCTACACTGAAGCACAGAACTTCCACGATACAGTAATCCAGACAGCTCCCTCCCATTCATTCCTTCTCCAGGGAGGATTCACATGCTAGAAATTCTTCTGTATACAGATTCATGGGAGATGATGTCCTGCCCTTACCTCCAGTGCCAGCCAACATGCATCTGAACTCAAAAGGTTTAATCTGTAACTTCACATTTCTTCTTTCTCAGAAGAAAAACCCCACACACCTACACTTCCTCTGCAAGGCAGGCCTCCTGCTCGTATTTCCCTTCCTTTGCTGATGAGACACTAGAGGCACACCTACAGAGAAAAAACTAAAAAGTAGGAAACTAACTGATTTTTCCTACCTGTAACAGGCTCAGCTTGCGCTGCCGGGCTGACGCTCCTCTTCTTTGTCGAGGAACTCGAATTCCTTTCTCCATCAAGGCTGGCTCCCACATCCACTGCAGCCTGGGGCTCAACCCCCACTTCTTCTGCGGCTGATAATTCAGGGGAACAAGGTGTCTCTGCTGCAAAAACCACCGCATCAAAACTTTTTACCATTTTAGGAACTTTATCCAGAGAGGAGCCTTCATCCGCCGAAACCAAGCTCTTTACTCCCACATTTTCCAGTGACTCAACAGCATGTAAACGGCACGAAGAGGGCGAGAAGGGCAATTCGGGTAGAGCTCGGCTTTGCTTTCCATTGGGCTCAGCCAAGACGTCCCTCTGCGCTGCTTTCGTAGCGGGACCGGCATCACTCTCCCCGGCCAGACAGACGGTGTCGGTGCTGGAGTCGCTGTCGCACGTGGGCTCCTCCGCGATGGGCTGAAGTGCTGCCCGGGGAAGCACGCTTTCCATATCCTCCTGCTCGTCTGGATACGCTGCGACAGCGGTTACCGCCACCGGCCTTAACACTTCCTTACCCTCACACGCATCACTCAGGGCTCCCATTTCCAAAGCCTCCTTTAGTTCAGGGGTGCTGCTGCGTGGGCAGATTCGCTGTTGGGTTTGACCGGGATCATGTTCGCTGTTCAGCCCCGCATCCGGACCACGGTCGTTCTCCGCACCCGGTGACTCGCCTGCCGACGCGGGTCCGTGCATGGTGCCTTCTCCTGCAACCACTGCCTCAGTCTCGCACGCTTCTTCGGCACGGTCTGCCCCTTTCAGCCCAGCATCCACACCGCTGCCGCCGGCCGCAGGGTCCCCCTGACTGCAGGCAGAGGGTTTCACAACAGCAGCAAGATGTTCCTCCGACAAAACCAGCTCCCTGTCGCTTGCACAAGCCTCCTGGTCAGGCTCAGCTTCGCCTTCTTCAGCCTGCTGCGAGAGGCTCTGCTCCGGAGAGCCCTCGTCCCCTGCATGGTCCTCAGGCCAGCCGACTGCGGCAGCTACTGTGCCGTGCTCCTCGCCGCGCTGCTGGGCGAGCTCTGCCGAGCCGGCCGCCGCCGCCACTGTTTCCTGGTTTTGTTTAGATTCTTCATTATGAATTGCAGAGGGTGTGCCTATTAAATTACCCTCCGCGCAGTCTGCGCCCTTGGCACACGGAGCTGATCCAGAGTCGGTACCTTGCAGAGCTGCCTCCTGCCCGGGAGGTGCCACTGCAGCATCTCCCTCCCGACTCACTGCTGGGCCCTCTCCTCCGGGCAGGGGAGCGAGCGATTTCATCTCACCCCTCAGCCCCTCCTGCTCCAAAGCAAATCCTGCTATCTCTGCTTCGGTTTCTGCAGGCTCTTTTTCTGCCAGGGATGGGCTCGCACCCTCCGGAGGGAGTAAGGCAGGCTCATGTTTGCTGTCTGGTTTTAAGCTGTCACCCATTTCATCTTCAACGACAGTTTGATTGGCAGAAGGGCGACAGCCAGCAACTTCCTGACCTCCGTCTGCAGAACCTGAGCTTCCTCCATCGCCGCTGCTGCTGGTATCAGTTCCTGCTGGGCCCTCTCCACAGGCTTCGCTGCCCTCCATTGCTTCAGCCGCACATTCAGTGATTTTACCACTTTCCTGGCCACGCGCAGGTTCTGCACTGCTTTGGTTAGATCCACCAACAGCATCATTTTCAGGTTTAGCATCAGGACCATCAGTTTCCACACTGTCTTCCAGCGAGAGCGAGCTGGACTTCCCATCTGTGCAATCTGCTTCCACCTGCCCTTCTTGCTCCCCAGTCATACCACTGCCACGAATTTCCAAACCAGGACCAGGTTTCGATGCACACGTGGGAACCTTCACCCCGTTCACTGCCGGCGACGCTGCCCCGGCGCTCGCAGTGACATCCGGCCTCTCTGCAACACGGGCATCGCCTTTGCTTTCCAAGAAGCCACCGTTCACCTGATCAGCGCATGAGTCTGCTCCAGTCTCTTCACTACCGTCAGTCTTCCAAAGGTTAACAGAGACATTGCCAGTGCCACCACTTGCACTCACACCATCAAGTGCCGGTGCCACTCCCACACTTGCATCCTCTCCAGCTGCACACTCAGTGCCATTAAAACCACTGAGTAAGGGCTGAGCAGCACCGTCTGACTCTTCCTTAGCTGGCAGTCGCTCTTCTGGGTTTGCAGTCCTACTTTCACCATCCTCAGCCATCCTGTCCTCTACCTGCCGCTGGCCCGCAGCCCTCTCAGCCGCCCCCGTGCAGTTCCTGCACTCGGTTTGGCCCATAGCCACATCCACGCCCTCCAAGGAAGCTGGGGCTTCGCCTGCAGTTTCAACCACAGTAACAGCACAGTCAGCTGCAAGCTCCTCGGCAGCTTGCGCTTCCTGATGGGCACTATCTTTACTGCACAAGCCGGCTTGATCCAGACCAACTCCAGCAGATGTCATTCCAGCTTCCTCATTTGTATTTCGACAGGATGGAACGTTTACGGTACCGTTTACGCTTGCACGCAGGCTCACTATGCAGTCCTCCTCATCTGATGCAGTCCCAGAGCCTTCAGCAGAGGTTGGCCCCTCCTCTTCCTTTTTACTCAACGTCACTGCATTTTTACTTTCACAGAAGCACTCCGGGCTCTTTGCATCCCCCAGGCTCAGCAAGTCGTTTGACACATCATCAAAAGCTCCCAAACTGCTGCTGTTGCATTTCTCCTCCTGGTGGCTTCGCTTTGAGACCTGCCCAATGTCCAGATGACCAAGATCAGACGGACTTTCTTTCCTCCCTTCTCCTGTCAGTACTTCCAGGCTCTGAGAGGTAGTGGCTGGGTGACCACCTGGCTCTGCTGCTTTAGCATGGCTGTCTCCAGAACCTCCCAGTACCGGCTCTGTCTGGTGCCTTAAACCCTGTAACAAGATGAAAAAAAAAAAGAAGATTATTTCGCTTTGTCACATACTGACTCCACCACCTACAAGACCTACATCTAAATAATCCTATTTGATGCAACTCCTGCTCCCTCTGTACCTCTACCCGGTGTCCCTCGGGACAGTTACAGACATACTGCAGTGGGTATTTTATGCATTGGTTGTGCTACGCAGGAATACTGAAACTATGAGAATGACAGAAACGTTGGTTGGAAAGAGCATTTCAAGGTCATCTAGTCCAACCTCTTGCCTGAAGCTGGACTGTCACTGATGCGACATCAGGTTAGCCATGACTTTTTGTCCTGCCAAGTCCCCATAAGCTCTGATGACGAAGTGCCCACCACCTCTCTGGGCAATCTGTTCCTGTGCCACACCACCCTCCCATGAAGGAGTTTGTCCTAACAGCCAGCCCGAACCCCCTGAACCTGCAGTTTGTCCCTCCACCCCCTCATTACACCACCTGCCACCACTGAGCAGAGCTGTAATCTTTGTAATGGTCCTTCAAGCAGCTGTAGCCATAGTTCTCGAGTGCACTTAAATTCAAGATCAGTAAACAGCAGAATTCAATACACAAAATAATGCAAATATACACTAATCTAGTCCTAAAGGGCTTGAGCTAACGCAGCTGAAGAGCAACTTCAGATCCCTGCCCGATGGCACTCTCCAGTTCTCATCAGCGCTGCTCCTTTTTCTCTATATTGATGGAAACGCTACCGCAATGGTGGGAACTGGCTGACAATGTCCAAACACCGCCGCTTGCCTCCTGCTCCTAGGACTGAGATCATCATCTAATCTATTCCTGAGAGTTCCATGCATAATTAAATATCTGACTTTTACTACCTAAATGGAAACATAAATTTGAAAATGATGACATGCTATTAAAATGAGTATATGCATTATCATGGAACAGTAGCAACGTACTCAATCCGTCTCTAATTTGCATTTTCCTTCCAGAGCATCTGCTTTGTCAAGGATCCCCCAAGCTTTTACAGTTTGATACAATCAAACTTTTACTTAAAAAGAATCGTCTGTTTCAGTATCATCTTTTTCATTCTCTTTGCTGCACATCAACATTCACATCTTGGAAAAAGTGACTTGTTAAACTCAGAGCCCCTTCAGTCCTTCACCGCACACCCCACAGAGCTCCTTCGATTTTCTGTGGCAGGCTCGGGGTTTTGCACCGTAAGCTTTTGGAGGTCACGCTGGTATCTCAGTCAGAGCCTGTGACTCTCCACAAACACAACACTAATGAACTATTTGAAACTTGTTATTTTTTGCATTTATTTGTCAAAATGCTCTAAAAAATACACGCATCCTACAAGCCTAACTTAAACAGGTCCCTGCAAATTTTGTTTAAGACTCAAGTTCTCAGAGAGAGAGAATTTCATGCCAAAAATGCCAGTTTAAACACCCCTTTTCTCCCTGAAAAACGGCCGATATGTTAGTTGATGCATCACAGGGAACTTCTGGGTATTGCATATACAAATAGTGGCTAAAATCATCACTGCTACGCTGAGGATATTGCGTTTACTCGTCTTTCCACACTCTGAGGTTTGCAAACGATGAGCACTGCCACTGAATTACTGAATCACAGACCACTAAAAGTACTTCTGGTGTTTGCCATAAATCTCCTATTTAAAATAATCCTGCTACCCATCTCCCACATATGCTGTCCCCTGTGCCAGAGCTGCCTGCTTTTGAGGCATCCCAAGATAAGGTCAGCACTGGGGGCAGGAGCCATCATCTCCACCACCGCGTAGCACCAGGGATAGGACGCGGGGCTCTGCGTGCAGGGGGACCCGCAGGGCTGCGGCTGTTTGTCGCAAGGGCAAACAGGATCAAACAGCCTGCTGGCTGTCTGGCGGCTATCACCCTGCAGCAGAGCACGGAGACCGCGCTGCTGGTTCCCAGCCAGGACAGACACACAGGCAACACAGCCAGGACGGACAGACACAGGCAACAGTGACGCTTGCTTGGGAACATGCAAGTTTGTCAAAAGGAGGGGCCGCGGCAGTTCCCCGCATCCTCTCGGTGAAGTCACTCTGCTGATAGCCTGAAAAATAGAGCCGTCTCCAAAGGAAGCCAACTGGCTTTTAACTGACCCGAAATGAACCTAAATGAAATAATTACAGGGCTGCTTTCCAAATTCAAATCAGATTAGATGTGAAGAAAAACAGTGCTGGAAAGAAAAAGTCTAAACATAGCCTTTTCTGATTTCATTGTCAAGCAAAATGTACCCATCTGGTGTTCGCACGAGCGAACAAGAAGCGAGCTGGATATGCCTGCTGTGCTTTAGTGCCTTTCGTTGGAAAGGGGAAGCGATTTCACAGTTAGCCTGGGTTTGCCACCCATGCCACCAGTTCCTGTTGAAACCGGGATTTATTAACATCTCGGGCACCCAGGGAGGGGTGAAAATGGCTCAGGGTGGCCCATACCTCTGAACACCCCCCAGCCCACCACCTGCAGACAACGATTCTCCCCTTGCTTAGTTAAAGGAACAAGAATATCCTGTTATTTCGATCCCACATCTCTGTAACGGCGGATGTCTGAGCTGATGAAGGAACACCTACAAGCGATGCCAGCTGTGCAAGTGTTTTGGTTTC